CAGGTTTGCACAAGGGTGATGCTGTGCTTGCAGTTCAGGAGGATCCCTGTGCTGGCAGCTGAGGCCTTCGGCAGGTAAACACACCGAGAATGGCACCTTTCTGGTCCCACAGCGATTCCCAGGGCTTGGTTTGGGTGGAATACAGATTGTATGGTGCTGAAAAGTGCCCAGCAGGGCCCCAGCCATGGGTGCAGGCACCAAGTCTGCTCCAGCATCCCCTGGAGAAAACCTTGCTCTGCCAAGGACAAACTTTGCATGGCCACTGTTATCAGTACACGAGGCAGCCAGGCCAGAAAAATACCAGGAAGCAGAGAAAAGCAATAAAGAAGAGTGTTCCTCTGGGAAATGCAGAGACAGAACTTCAGCATCCTTCCAAATTAGGCGGTGTCCTCACAGGGTTCATGGCTGACAGGTTTGCTCTGCTCCCAGGATGGACTGTGGGAGGTGCCAGGTGTGATTCTGGGTGCAGAATTATCTTATTCTCCTTCTGTGAGGGGATGCAGAAAGTGTCACCAGCTTAATGTCTCATGGGGCCTGTTTTCCCTAAACTCAGAGGCTTGTGAACACAGCTCTTGGGTTTTCTCCTCCTCTGGGAATTGTGATTCTCCCCTGAATGTGCAGGCTGTTTTGTGTGGCTCAGGCTGCACTTACAGACACCGCTGTGGTGCTGGATCCCAGCTGCCCACATTGCTCCCCATCCTGCTGGGATGTGCAGCCAGGAGTGGGTTGTTCCCATCCCCTGCCCCTCCTTTAGGGGTCTGGAATCACCTTCAGTCCAAGAACAATTTAGGGCATCTCAGAGGCCAGGATGTGGAGAGGGACACCCCAGGCACCCGCCCAGGGCTTGAAATGGGTGCTGATTTAATGGTTGGCAGTCGACTTTGTCAGTGAGGTGCTAAGTCCATCCTTTTCCCCTGGTCAGAGGGCTGTTTGTTCATACCCATAAAGGCACAGATAACAGGATTGACTTAAGCACATCTTTGACACAGAGCCAACTAAGCACTTAACAGGGGGAGGGAAGGATGCCCAGCCAGTGCTCTGGGCTGTGAGACGGTCCAGGGAACACACAGGGCTGGGATTTCTGAATTGCTTCTACCCAAAGGCCAAATGAATTTCCCAGACACACAGGACAAGCTGAAATCCAACCCCCTTGCTTTGTGCTTTATCCTTTCAGGATCCTCCAAATCCCTCTGTCCCCTCAGTTCCTTCTGTAAAGGCTCCATCTGTAGAGAACCTTCCACAGCAGAGGTAACAGGGAGGTTTTTGGAGGCTGAAGTGGCAGCTGAGCCTCTCACCCCTCCGTGGCTTTCAAAACTTCCTTCACTGAGCTTAGGAGATGAAAACCACAAGCAACAACCCTCCTCCAGCTGCCTCTCAATGAAGGAGAGATCCTCCTCGTGTGAGACAGCCAGGGAAAACTGGGTTCTGCAATTGCTGCTGAGGTATTCGAGGAAAAAGGATAATATTTAACAGTTCCAACAAGCGCTGGCCTAAGCCAGCAAGCTCAGCTCTCCTTGCTCTGGGCTAGAGGAATAAGCTGGACAGGGCCAGAGGGAAATTCTTTGCATTCTTAGGATTGGGAAGGTGAAATTAAGGTAAAATACTCCTGGATGAGGGTCAGGGGTATGTGGAGTAGCAAGGTTTATCTTGCTTTTAAATATCACACTGGAATTGAATTCAAGAAAATACTTTCGGAGTGGAGCTGGCATCAGGAAAAGCATTGGATTGGAAGTCCAGGGAGGGGAAAAAAGGCTCATTTTTGCCTCTGAATGTGCCAGAGCTCCAGCTAGCAGAGGTCAGGGCAGCAGTGCTGGGGGCTGTGCTCGCTCACATGCTGGCCCAGCAAATTGTGTGACGTGGCAGGAAAGATGCTGCTCACCAGGCAGGCCTTGGGATGGGTGTAAGCAGGCAAAATCTGTCACTGCTGCTGGAGGTGTGACAGGCTGTGCAGGATGGGCCTGGCTCCTCCAGCCTGCCCTGGACCCAGAGGCTGGAGAGGGCACGGATGCAGGCACTGGGAATGATGTCCAGCTGGTCTCTGCCACAGCAGTGATGTGGAGAAAAGGGTTGGTTTAATGTTATGGCTCATATTTGGGAATAACACAGAGAAAAAGGGCTTGGTGAAGGCTCCTAAACAGCACCAGCTTTCAGGACTCAGGGATGCTCTTCCCTCCTCCTCCTCCCACCAGCAGTCCAGACATGCCATGTGGAGTTCCACGCAAAGCTGGGACTTAAAGCATGGGAACAACAGTAAGGCATGTCTGTGCTGAGGGAAAACTGGGCAAAAGGCAGGCAGAGCCACCAGGACCCTTTTCTGCTCCTCTTGGAGCTCAGCAAACCCCGAGCTGTGCCTCTGCAGCTCCTGCTCTGCTCCCCCAAGCTGCTGCTTTGGTGGTGGGCTCATCCCTCATCCCTGTGCCTGGTGAGGAGGAATCACTTCCAAGGAACAAAACAGGAACAGGCCAGCAAGGAAGAGCCAGTGCAAATGTCAAAGATGAGCAATTAAGTGCCATCACTGCTCGTAGTGTTTATCCAGCAGCAGCAGCCGGGAGCTGAGCTGTGTCTGCACCGAGAGCTGTGTGATGCAATATTTGATGGGTTATTTGATCTGTGGCTCCCGGGTGAGCATTGATTAAAAAAGGGCCCAGCATGGGGCACCCACTACACACAGTAGCTCTGTCTGCTTCACACAGCAGCAAGTCCTGCTTTCCCTCCTTCCCCCTGGAGAACAGCATTTCCACCCCCCCTGGAGGCACTGTTTGATTGCCACGGATTGGAAGGCTTTAAAAGGGACTATCTGTGTGAGTCACAGTCAAAGCCATAAAAGCAAAACCAATAAAGCCATCTGAAAAGTGCTGTTTAATGGATTGAGGCAAACTTACTGGAAACAGGATACAGATTGTTTCATCTTTAAATCGTTAGTTCAAATCAGCTGCATTTGGGAGCAAAGGACATTTATTCCTCATCAATAGCTGTCAGGGAAGAGAAATAAATGTGAGAGGGATTTTACCACCTGAAAGGAGTTGTTGGTTTTTCTGTGCTCCCAGCAGCTCCCTGAGCTGAAAGGCCTTAGGGGGTTTTGGGCACTCTGGAAATTCAGTCCTTACAGGGCAGGGCTTTCCATATATAATTAAAATACTCGTCACTGTGGTGAGCACAGGTATCTGCTCACATGGAAAATATTTGTTTGCTAAGAAAATACTTATTTTCTTATCAAATAAACCACTTATGGACTACTCTGTGTTCACCCTTTTTAACAGTGATGCTTTCCCACCACCTCAGTGATGCAGGAGCAGCACCAGAGCTCACCGTGTCAGCTCTCCAGGCAGTTCAGTGTCGGTGGAAACCACGTCCTGACAGGCTCGTAAAAGTTTTATAACAGGCACTTTGCAAGGGCCCTGAGACACGAGGTAATGGGCTGTGATTAATCCCCCCATCCTGATGGTATCACTGTCAGCTCAGGCCCCATCCATGGGGTGGATGATGGCAAAGCCCAGCTGGTTGTCGCCCCGGCCGTGAGGGATTTCGGGATTCAAAGGGGATGTTTTCCCACATGGTGGTTTCCATCCTTTTTATACCAAGATCTTGCTGCTGGTGCTGTCTCTCAGCCCTGAGCCCTCAAGTCCCATGGTCCTGGTCAGCTGCCAGCCCTGCTGCAGTGATGGCAGAGGGGATGTCCCAACCACAGGAGGATTTGGGACATGGAGGGCAAAGGGCACAAGTATCTTTTGTGGCTGAGCAGGGATGAGTGTCCTTTACAATGCTCGTTGCAGAGGCAGCTTTTCCCAGGTTGAATTTTGGGATGTTAAATCCCTTGGCTGATTCCCCCCTCCCCTCAACTTGGCAAGCAACACAAATTTAGTGAATATCCTGTGATACTGTTCCCCTTGATATGACCTTGCAGCAGCATTGGCATTTCCACAGGGTGTTTGTCTGCAAACAGTGACAGCAGCTGGGCCAGAACTTCTGTATCTAAAGAAGAAATACGTTTTCAGTTTGATTTAGCTTTTACATATCACTGTGTTAATGTTAACGAGTCCAACTCAACCTGTTTTCCTGCTCTTGAGGAACAAAAGCTGGCTCAGTGCATGGAGCAGGAAGTGGTTAGGATGGCCTAGGGCCAGTGTTTGTTAGAGGTGAGCTAATCTATAGATGTGATTCTCCTCCTAGAGCTGCACTTCCAGGGGCAAAGAGCTGTTGCAGGTCATCCTCGCTCCTTGCCTGGCCAGCTCACCCGGCTGTGGGTCAGAAGGGCTGGGAGATGTGCCAGCAGCTGGCACAGGCTCGGGCTTGTGCTCCAGCCTGATGCTGCTCCAGATGTTTTCACAGTCGCACACGTGGTGGGCACGTGGCTCGTGCTTCCCCACTGCTGCAGACCAGGTGTGTGACCCCAGGGGACACCTGAGCCCTGAGCGGGGCTGTCAGCGCCTCGAGCCTGTGACGATGCTTGGCCGTAACTCTCCTCAACTCACAGGGCTGCAGCTGGAGCGCTGCGCTCAGACCGCTTGCCCGGGACAGCGGGACTGTGTGTTTGGGGTGGTTTCACCTGCGAGATCCAAACCGAGCGGCAGCGCTCGGAAACGCGTCCTTGAGTAAGAACCAGCCTTTACCTTTAGCAATGGGGTTGGTGGGGGTGGTGGGGGGGTGGTGTTTTGGTGGTGTGAGCTGTGACCGGGCTCCCCCTCACAACACCCGCCCGGCACAGCTGGCCAGATGTGGGTGCGCGCGGGCCCCGCCAGACGCTCACGTGGCGGCGGCGGCGCCGCCCAGATGTGCCCGCGCGCGCCTCCCGGCCCAGCTGTGCGCGCCAGATGTGCCCGCGGCCCCGCCCGCGGGGGGGGGGCGGCGCCGGCCACGCCCCCTCGGCTGCCAATCACCCGCCCCAGCCCAACCGCGGCCCGCGACACATCGAGGCCCGCGACCAATCAGGGCGTGGGTGTGATTTCCATGGCAGCCGCAGCCGCGCGGCTCCGGGGGAGGCGGCGGCGGCGCGGCCGGTCCCGATCGCGACCCCGCTGCCTGTCGCGATCCCGGCGCCTGTCGCGACCGCGGTCCCTGTCGCGATCCCGCTGGCTGCCCACTGCGATGGTGGCCGAGCGGAGCCGCGGCGGAGGAGGGGCGGCGGCGCCGCTGCCGCGCGGCTCCAGCCCGGCGCGGGGGCGGCGGCAGCAGCAGCGCAGGTGAGGGCGCGGCCGCACCTGAGGCGGGCGGGGCGGCTCCGGCAGCCGCCGCTCCCCGTGCCCGCCCCGCCCGTGCCGGTGCCGTTGTGGGTCCCGTTGCCGGTCCCGGCCGGGCTGTGGCGGCCGCGGCCTGAGGCGGCGGTGGGAGCGGGAGCGGGAGCGGGTCGGTGTCCGTGTCCGCGTTGGTGTCCGCGGGGCTCGGGCCGGGCCGCGCGGCCGCTCCCGCAGGATGCACCGAGGGGCCGGGGCGCCGCTCCCCGCGGATCCCTGCAGGGTAAATCCCAAAGTTTCCGCGCGGGGCGGGAAGAACTCGCTCGGAGCAGCGCCCGGCGCTTTGTTCGGCTTTTCCTCGCCGCTCGGCTGGAAGCGGGTTTGCTGCCGGCGTTGCTGGAACGAGCCCCGTTCGCGTTTGTTCCTGGGGACGCGTTGTGCACATTTCCATAGGGCTGTGTCTCTCCAGTGTGTTCAGCACTTTGGTTCTCTGCAGTGCCTTACCGCGTAACGGGGTGCTGAAATCCCTCTGCGGAGCCACAGCACACGTAAAAGTGCACGCAGCGGTGGTAGCTCATCTGCTCTTAGCGTGTCAATGACTTTTTTTTTCATCTTTTTTTTCCCCCTTTCTTTATCCTTTATACATAACTTGAAAGAGCTTGAAGCCTCTGTGTGTTGCCAATAAAATTCCTGTCGTTGGATTGTTCTCAGGCAGTAACTGTAGAACTTAACAGATACTGTTTATTCTTGCATAACCAGGAGCACGTTGGTAACTCTTTTTTGACCATCCTGTGTGCAAATACAGATAACTTGCTGTATGTGTAATATATGTAAGGAGAGCAGAACGTATGGAGTTATTTCCCTTAATTTGAAGCAGAGCTTTTTAATTAGCTGAATTTGAATTAGTTGAAGTTTGAGTGCTTTGATAACCTTATTGGCTGTTTTGGTATTTTTTTTTCTAAGGCTTGTTAAGAAAACCTATAAGTGTTGCTAAATTCAGAGGAAGGACAAACGCTTCTGAATTTCTCTTTACACATGTATTTATTCGTGTGTGTATCCATTTATCTGACTAATGGAGGATTATGAAGAAAGCTGGATTTGGTCTTTTTTTTTTTTTTTGAGGGGGGATAACTGGTAAAAGGAAAGCATACAGCTTTCTTTATCTCTTATTGATTATAGGATGGAAATGCATAGTAATGCATAAGAAGCACATCTTTTTTTACTCTGTGTAACGTGATTGTACTAGAAATTGTGGAATTATTACATAGTTGTATGTGTTATTCACCCATTATGGAAATTTGAGATTCAGCAATGGAGTGTGACCATGAAGGTTAATGTGGCCTTTTAAATTTCTCAGAGCTTTAGACGTAAAAAAAAAAGACTGGCTTCACTAGGTCAGCTTTGCTGGCTTTCCCCCCCAGATGCTTTTCTGCCACTGGTTAGTTCCTTGTGGAGACTCCTTATTCCTTTCTGCAGGTGAACAAAAATTACTCATTCAATTTTATCATCCTGTTTTCCTGTATGACTAATGGGAGGGGAAATCTGGGGGGAAACAGCTGCAGGGCTTGAGAACCACGACGACTTAAACAGCTAAAGATGGACTTGCTACTCGAGGCTTCTTGATTTTTATTTTTAGCTTCGAGTATTTTGCTTGGGATTTGCTTCCTTGTGCTGTTCCATGACTGGTAGTGACACACATCCAGTCTTTGGGGGAATCGTCGAGGTGATTGTGCAAATGCTGCTTTGAAGGGATAAAAAAAATACTCCCTGAAGACTCCAGTTATTTTTTTTGGAGCAGTCTTCTAAATGAGCCTGTGATGGTTTGGGTGGCTCCTTGTGGCGTTCTGGGAATATTTCAGTTGTGTTCCCTGGTGTTGTGCTATACCATTATCACTTAGCTGTTGGCTTTCCTATGCAATCTTCTTTGTGGTGAACACACACAAACAGCCAGAAACAAACCAGTTCATTGAAGGAAAGGCTTTAGGGAATTCCTTTCTTTAGCTTTCATTAAGGAATGCTGCCAGACTCAACACTGTGTGCAGCTTGGACTGTTTGATCAGCTTAATACAGAACTTTCTCTAAGAAATAGTTCTTTAAATGTGTACTGTTTCAAAAGTGATCCTTGAGAATTCTCAGTCATTGCTGCCTTTCCAGTATTTAATTTGACATTGTGAACTATAAAGGGAAGTTGTTCACTGCACTTGGGCAGCTGCAGGGACAAGACACACTCCACAAAAATCTAAGCTGTACTACCATACTTATCCTTCCTAGAAGATGATCCTGTTCTCAGGATCTAAGCCAGAAGTTTAAGATATGGAAGCAGAGGACAAGCTAATCCTTGAAAAATGCTTTATATATGTATATATATATGTAGGGTTGGATTTTTGGGTTTTTTTTTTGAGATGGATAATGCCAGTGTTGCTGCCCTCTCAATTTAGCCTTGGAAAAAGCTGTCTGGTTGAACACGAGAAGGGAGGTGGTCCCTTTCCAGCTTCCAAAGTGACAGGCTGAGCTCTAGAGCTCAAGAGGATTCCTTGGGACTGGATGGTAAAGGAACATCTTTTTTTTTTTTTCCTCTGGCAGGGGATGCTTTAAGCAACAAGAAGACCCAAATTGTTCTGACATAAAATACAATTGAACGATTTGCCTCTTGCCTAAGCTAAAAATCTTCAACATTTTTTGGATGAACTCGAGGGAAGAGGTCTTGACCTGCTGCATGCAGGGGGAGGGCAGGAGAATTAAATGTGTGTGCAGCAGGAGGAAACAAAGCAGTCAGTTTTGCTTTACTAACATCATCATGTGGCTGACTCATAGGCCTGACTTTTCTGGGCATAAAACTCAGTTACATACAATTCTGCTTGGCTGCACTTTCTTGTGATGAAACTTGTGAATCCTAATTTTTTTTTTTTTTCGAGTTACACTTAAATTTTCCTGGGACTTCTTTTTAGTCTGTCATTCGAAACTTGCTGCCAAAGGCCTCTCTACCATTGTAATCATCTGCAGCTTCATCACTGTGTTATGTGTGTGTCAGGGGGTTGTGTTTGTTTTTGGTTTGGGTGATCACTGTTTTTTGTTTGGTTTGTTTTGGGCTAATTTTATTAACAAGTTGTCTGTGCTTGTAGGGTGAGTGGCACGTTGCTCTCCTGAGGTCACAGTTGGTCAAAGCAATATTTCAAAGCTGTGCTTAAACGCTGACAGGGGATTGCTGATTGCCTTGTTGTGATTTTTTTGAATGCTGTCAGTTTAGTTACTGTTGACAGCACAGCATTAATAACTTTTATAATCCTTCAGGTTGACAGATGTGCTCCAGAGCACTTACTCATGGGGAGGAGGGGGAAGGTGGGGTTTGTTTGCAGGCTGCTAGAAGGGCAGTAACTTCCATATGTCATATTTATCCCAAAGAGCTTTACTTGTAACTCCAGGCCCAGAGGGGAGTTTGCTGGCTCACAGAACAGATTAATTTGCTGAGAGGAGCCGTTTCTGACTGCTCCTCTGTTGTTTCCCTGACATCCAAAGCCCTGGTCTTGCCACAGTTTTTATGGCTCCAGGTATTGCTTCCAGGCCTAAAACCAATACAGAAGGTTTTGGAAGAGTTTAATACTGATCCTTTATGGTCTCACAGCCTTTGGCATCTTTGACCTTCCCAAAACAAGTTACTGCCTCAAATGAAAGTATTTGTGGTTGATTGATGTGGGGGGTTTTTTGTCACGTGGGTGGGGTTTTGGTGGTGTAGGTGAGTGGTCAGTACAGCAGTTTAAGAAACCTACTGACAGGCTGCAAGGCTCATTTTTTATTCCCAGCTGGAATTGTGCCCAGCCTGAGTCATCACTCTGCTTCACCCAACCTGTGAGTTGAGGATTTCAGTCTCCAGGCTTTCCTCCAATGCTGCTTGTTGTGAAAGCTGGTGTTGGTTTTGTTCTGGTTTGGAGTGATATTCTGATAGAAATGATCAGAGTAAAGCACTGGATGCCTTCGGTCTTGATAAGTTTTTCTCTGGTGCTGAGTTACCAGTTACTTTAGGGGAACATCAGTGATTTCAAGGAGTGGTTTCAATTTGGAAGACGGAGATTTTTGTGGAAAGTTTTTTGCTTTTTTTCTTTCTTTTCCTGAGGAAATCAATTTTATGGGATTTACTCAAGCTGAGTAATGTTGGGGATTGTATGAAGTGTAAATATTTGCAGATCTTATGTGCTCTGTGGTAAAACACTGTTTCAGTTGTGTCAACTTTTCTCTTGAATGAGTACTGACTTGTAACTAAATCTTTACTGTCTCTAAAGAATTCACAGAGATTCTGTGTACTGTTTGCTAGTTTTAAGCAGAACCATTTTACCTTCCTTAACTGTAAGTTAGGTCTGCATGCTGAATCTTTCAGGAGAGAAACTTCCTGATTTTTGGTGCTATGTGAGTATTGACCTCATGATCTACTTTTTTCTTTCTTTCTTGAGCATTGGTCGAATGACCTCCACCTAAATTTTTAGGAACTTGTTTTTTTTTTTTTTAATATTCAGATATTTAAAGTACAGTTAAAGCCAGCTCTTCAGCAAGGAGAGGTATGTAAGTAGAACAAAACACGTTACAGAGGATGAATTGTTTATAAGAGCCGTATTCTGGCCAGAGTGTGTGGGGGAGCTCCTTGGCTGCTTTACAGAAAAAGTGAATTAATCTTCAAGCTATATTTCCAGCGTAATTTTGCTAACAAAGACTAGAAGCTGAACTTTGAGTGCAGTATTGTGACAGCTGGTGATTGGAGGAAGCTCTGCTGGTGTGAAGGGGCGAGACGATCTCGTGCAGGTTGGCGACTGGCCCTGCTGGATGGGAAATCGCTGCTGTGGCAGATGCCTTGCATGAGGAATTCCTCCCTTTTTCCCTGGCACTGCTGTGGTGCTGAGTGGGAGCTGTGTGCTCTGTGTGGCCCCAGAAAAGGGGCTGTGGAGGGCAGGGGGACAGGGCCTGGTGCGAATCCTGACCTCAGAGATAGCGAGTGGATTCGGGTGGAGGAAAAGGTTAAGTGGATAATGGTTTGGGAGAGAGTAGGCACGAGGGTGTTCTTCACTCAGGGATGTGCTGGGCCTTGCTGACAGAGATGGAAAAGCTTTGAGGAAGCCAGTCATTTAAAGTGTTGGCGGTACCTCAGTGCTTGGAGATCCTCACAATTAAAAGCATCTGTGATTCATACTGTTCACCGAGCCATTCCAGCCCTGAGCAGCCAGCTCGTACTTGAAAATTCAATCAGAGCACCAATTTGGTTCGAGTTCTGAGAGGAAGAGTCAGTTTTCAGCCTATCTTATCTGAAAATCCAACGCAGTTTAACTGCAGAATTCAGGTAAAATGACTGTCTGTACATTATCTTTATTTTTTTTCTAGTCGTCACAGATACAGGTTGGCAAGAACAGATTGAATCATCCAGGCAGCAGAGTAGCAGATTTATGTAAACCAGTGTTGGATGTAACTCCTTGGTATTCACTGCAGGACATGGCATATTCTTAATCCTTCTTGTAAATGTCTACATTGGAATTCAGCAGACAGACATTTAAATCTTTTGTTTCTATCTAAAAATTTTTTATTCAGACTCTTAATACATGTCCAGAAATCGTCTGATACAGTCTAGGTTTTTTTTTCTCAGTTGTAAAAGTTAAAGTTGCTTTTGAATAATGCAGTTTTAAGAAGCTGAACTGAAAAGAAATAAATAATGAAAAACCTTGGGTTTATTTTGTGTATCTTGGGGTTTCAGCCTTAATCTCATCTCATTACAGATTGGAGAAATAATTTCTGTGTTGATTTATTGTAGTGGTTCTTAACAATGCTCCAATTTTATTCCTTTTTTTTTTTTTTTTTTTTTTTTTTTTTTTTTTTTTTTTTTTTTTTTTACTTTTTCCTCCCTTTTGACAGACCTTAATTTATTTTGGAGGATTCCCGTGGCATGTGAACTAGGAGATAATTCAGACTAGAAGGCCTCCTTATTTTGAAGCGACACAGCCTCTCCCAAAATGGTTGGGAAGCTCAAGCAGAACTTGCTGCTGGCGTGCCTGGTGATCAGCTCGGTGACGGTGTTCTACCTGGGCCAGCACGCCATGGAGTGTCACCACCGGATCGAGGAGCGCAGCCAGCCCGGCAGGGCGGAGAGTGGCGTCCGGAGCACGGCGGGAGCCGCTCCCGGCGGGAACGCCAACGGAACCTCGGCCTACAACAAGGACATGCCTTTGATCTTTATCGGGGGGGTCCCTCGCAGCGGCACGACCCTGATGCGGGCCATGCTGGACGCGCACCCCGACATCCGCTGCGGGGAGGAGACCCGGGTGATCCCGCGCATCCTGGCCGTCAAGCAGATGTGGGCGAGGTCGAGCAAGGAGAAGATCCGCCTGGACGAAGCCGGAGTCACGGATGAGGTCCTGGACTCGGCCATGCAGGCGTTCCTGTTGGAAATCATCGTGAAGCACGGCGAGCCCGCGCCGTACTTGTGCAACAAGGATCCCTTTGCTCTAAAATCCTTGACTTATCTTGCCAGGATTTTCCCCAATGCCAAATTCCTTCTGATGGTACGGGATGGCCGTGCATCTGTGCATTCCATGATATCCAGGAAAGTCACAATAGCTGGGTTTGACCTGAACAGCTACAGGGACTGCTTGACCAAGTGGAACCGTGCTATAGAAACCATGTACAACCAGTGCATGGAGGTTGGGTTCGAAAGGTGTATGCTGGTGCACTATGAACAACTTGTGTTGCATCCTGAAAGGTGGATGAGAACTCTCCTTAAGTTTCTCCGCATCCCGTGGAACCAAGCGGTGCTGCACCATGAGGAGATGATTGGGAAGGCAGGGGGTGTTTCTCTTTCCAAGTGAGTATGAACGTTCCTCCTTTACCCTGGGTTGTTCTAGGAGTTGAAACAGTCCTAGTCATGACTTGGTTTCAGTTGATGATGCCTCAGGAAGCTGATTTATGATGCATCTGGAAAATAAGAGTCATTGTTAACTAACAATTTGCAATCTGATTGGTTCCACTGCACAGCTGTCCCATTAATGTGTATGGAGCACATGAACAAACTTCTAATGGTTGAGTCGAACTTGAATTTGGATGTCTGGTATCAGCTTTGCTTTTCTCTCTGCCCCCAAATAAACCTGAACTGTTTTATAGTATAAATGGGTATAGAAATAGATAACTGGTGTTATCCATCCCAGCAAGATCCTCCATTTAATTTCAGGGGCAATGTTGTTGTCAGTGCAAGAATGGCCTTTGAGTTGTATTTGCCAAGAACAGACTCTTCCAGGAAACTTGAGAAGCTGTTCCAGCAGAATAGAAAGCAGAGTTGGCCTGCTTCTCTGTTGGCAAGTGCTCCTAAAAGGACAAGCATTTTGATGAAAATTAACCTTGTTGTAAGCAAGTCTCTCTCTATTCTATCCAGCCATCTGTGCACCTGATTGAGCTGCTTTCAGAAACCAGTCCAGCTCTGCTTGGAAAACCTAGATGGGCATTGTGAAAAGAAAATCTCTTAATTCTCTAGTTAAACTACTCTGGTTTCTTTGCCACTGTTTGCAGCTGAACAACTGAAATACGGAAACTGGTTCATCGTTACACTGAGAGGGAAAAGTGTCAATGTTTGTTCCCTGTTTTTGCTGTGGCAGGTGCATCTACCAGGTTGTCTTGTTTAAGTTTCTAAAACATTGATTAAAAAGCCCCATTCCAGCAGCAAGGCCTGTCCAGTTAAATTACTTGGCTTGTGTATTTTGAATATTCCTCACTGGCCAAGTGCTTCCGAGTGAGAGGCACCTTGCACAGCAAGCAGGGTGTGCTGGGCAGAGACGTGGCAGACTGTTCCAGGGTGGGTGTATTTTTTTCTAAACTGCAGTTTTATGAAATGAAAATAGTGAGATTTATTTATATATTTATTTATTTCACGCCTAGGAATGTGACTGTGGATTTTCTAATATATTGTAGGGGCCTGTGATTTAAATCATAGAATTGTTAGTCAGCAGTTACAATGAGAACTCAAAACTCAGTTATATACTCACAGTCTGGAGGTTTCACATTCCCAGAGCTATCAAGAAGGGATCTCACCCCTTTTTTTTTTGGCAGTGTTGTTTGGTAGCAGATTGGAGGCTTCTGGAAATGTTAACCTGAAGCACTGCTCGGTTGTTCCTCCCTGGAAGATGATCTGCTTGGGAATTCTCTGTAGTTACCTCTCTTTTGTTGCTTCTTCACAGTGGCAGCTGAGGGGGGAATAATGTTACTTTTACTGATGTGAATGGATGGTTGCCAAGTTCTGTTAAGTGTCCTGTAAAAAATAACTGTGCATAATGCCATCTCTAGTAAATTATTACTCTCTTACAGCTTCCAGATTAGTGTTTTTAAAAATTAATGGACCTTTATACTATAAAACTCAGTAACCTTGGTGAATTCATACAGTCTCAAGTAATATTTCCTGCTAAATCTGGTAGAATTGGATGTGAGGAGTGGGAAATACTTGTTCATGTTTCTAAATATTAAGAAAATGGGTTGTTCAAAGTAAAATGTGGCTTTATGGTTATTTTTTCAGTAAAACTTTTCAGCTTAAGACAAATGAGTACAAATGTGTTCTTGTGACCCTCAGTTCAGTCTGTTCACAGAATTCTTTAGGCTTTTATTATCTCTCATGAGATGATATGACAGTAATTTCTTATTTCAGAAGGCTCTGGCAGTAGTGGGAAAAGAATGAGTTATTAATGTTACGTCTTGAGTGGGTTTAATCTAATCCAACACCCTTGCAGTAGGTGGTGAGATTTGTTTTCCAGTTGCAGGAGACCTTTATGATTTGATAATGATTTCAGTGATTCAGTCTGTTGAGGGCTGCAGAAGAACCAGCGAGTGTGAAAGCCTGTGTTGTGTATTTATATGATACCAGTTGAAACTGCGCAGGGGGAGCCTGAGATTGCCCAGTTTGATGTCCTTGTACCAGTTAAAACCTGCTGGGTTTGGCATCCCCAGCCCCGAGGGGGGTCCTTGCCCAGAGCAGGGGGTGAGTGCCCAGGAGAATTACTCGTGGAAGAGATGCTTGGTGAGTAGTTTACTGAGAGCCTGAGAGTCTGCCACAGCTTATCACATTTTGACAGCAGAACAAAATACACCTTGTGTTAGTTTTCCTTCTCTCCAGTTGCCTTTGGCTTGTTCTCAGCTGCAGCCAAGCCCTCGTTGGCCTCAGGTGTGTGTGACTGTTACTTTCTGGATCAAATTCTGACCAACACTGTTCCCTTCTGACTCCTTTCAGCTCAACAACACAACCTGGAGCAGTGGAGCTCCAGATTCCAATCAGTAGCTTTCTCCCACCTCACTTTCCAAAGGGACAGTGCTGGAGATCAGAGATAATGAAAGAAATTCAAACTGCTGCCATCTTCTGCAACTCTGTCTTCTCACAGAGCTTTGTTTTACCATGTGCCTCACACCAAGTGCTTCAGGCTGTTTAATAATAGGATATTAAAATCAGAACACTCAAATTATATTGCAGTTTTTACTGACAGGAGATCACAGGTACCAAATCCCCTCTGTTGAAATGGGATGTTCATTTAAAAGATGTCACCACGTAGGCCTGGCCTCTGAAACATAGTGGGGAACAATATGAAAATCTTGATAAAATTAGTTCCCTGGTTATCAGCAAAGTATTAGATAGGGTAGAAAACCTCTGAAATCAGAGGATGAACTACTATTATAATCTGCAAAGGCGGTGATACTGTGTAAAGACTTAAGAAGACAAGCAGAGGCATCTGCCTTAAATCATCTTTCACTCACCTTTAAGACTTGCACGTCTTTCAGACAGGCTCAGCATCCACTTCAGAGACACAGTGCAGATCCAGCAGGAGATGCCTGGAGGTGTTTTAATTGTTGGAGGTTTTTTTTGAAATTAAATCCTTCAAGAATTTTTTGTCTTGAAATATTTAAGAACACTCCGAGAAAGAGATCCCAGTATCACTGAAATATCTTTATGATGTTGCCGTTACCTGCTAACAGGAAGTCAGTGTTTGAGAATACATTTTTCACTCATTAAAAATCCAAATTAATGCCTGTCAAGTGAAATCTGTGTCAGATGGAATGAGGCTGTAGGCTGCAAGATGTTTTCCATTCAGCTGTATATAGAATTAAACTGTGCATGCAGGTTGTTTCTTTTCCAGAGATGAGCCAGCCCCTGGATTGCAGAATTCTTCCAGCAGTCAGCTGACTCCACTTTCCTCTTCTTTCAGTCTCAGAAACTCTTATGCATTAGTCTGTTAATAGCAATAGGAGATAGCAAACAGCCTGGATTTAAGACTCTGACTTCATTTGTTCCCCTGGCTGCTTGATTTGAGGAAACTTTTGGCTGCCTCCCTCTCTTCTTCTGCATGTGTTTAGTAGTCCCTGCTTTTCCCTGTTGCTGATGCAGCCCTTCCCTCACTGTTGTTCTGTTGTACTTGGGGTTCTTGCCCTTATTTTGACTTTTATCCAGCTGCAAAGAGAAGCACTGCAAGGGTTCTGGAGATGAGCAGCCCAGCATTTGCAGTGGTGTGAAACCTTCTGTGGTTTGAAATAATTGCCAGCGTGGCTGGTGAAGGAATGTGTGATGGCTGCACTACAAGCTATAACTAGTATTGTTAATAGAGCTCTGGCATTTGCCTCCTAACTGAAAGCAGCTGTGCTGACCACTGAGGCAGAGAAATGTCAACCCTTTTACAGCAATTTTTATTGGGCTTGTAATGGAAATAGCTGTCCAGGCAAAATTACTTCACAATATACTATATTTGATACATACCTTTCATTTGATGCTGGTGCAGATGCAGAATTACTTGGGGTTAGTCCTGTGCTCTGTGCTACCAGCTGCTTCCAGAGCTGGAACTGTTCCTGGGGTTTTCAGTGGAGTCTGGAATCACTGCCCAGCCTTTGCCATAGACAAATCAAACTTACCAAGACTTGGTGTGTTTCCTAGTTTTGCTGTTCATTTTTCTCAGATGCTTTCTCACCTTTTGCCTGCTGAATATCTGAAGAATTAGCTGCTTGAGAATTGATTTGAGTCTCAGTGTCCTCATTCTTTATCCTGTGTGGATGAGGTGCTGGTGTTACGCTTTGTACTGCTACTTCCAGGCATAAAAATTCCATTTTCTGGGTGGTAGAGCTTTTTGAGCTCAAAATTCTTTGTGCTGTAAAGGAGGGCAGTAGCCCCAGGTGGGTGGTTGTGCTCAGGTGTGAGGCAGATGCAGCCAACCAGCAGCAACTACTGATATTAATTGCAGTGCAGGTACAAATATTCCTTTAGGCAACTTTATATATATACAGATGATGTCCACACTGCATGTGCACTCTGATTTCTGGAAAAAAACCCTACCTTTAAATTATTCAGAATAAAACTCAGAGTTTTCAATTATTCTGAGTCCTGCTGGCCTGTTCCAGAAATAAACACAGTAAAGAAGCAAGTAACGTGTGAGAACAAAGCAGTGCCAGGTTTCTTCCCTTGGAAAAAAAAGCACAACAAAACTGGAGCAAGAATGAAAATTGCATTAGGACTGCTGATTAAATGACAGCTATTTTGTGTGGCACTGCTGTGGTTGTGCACTTGCCTTTAAGAACTGTGTAATGACCCAACAATCAGTTAAAGGAATGGTTATGAAAAATATTGCTGTGGCCCACAGCTTTCTGTCAAGGCTCAGCTCTCTCTTTTATTAAAACAAAGGGGGGGAAAAAAAAGAAAGATAAGTCACAGGATGGGCATGGGGAGAAGAAATGGCACATGTATTTTAATTTAGAATACAGCTTTTAAGAGCATCTGAGACAATTAACCAGCAAATGTGGGAACGTGCCAGTGGGAAAACAGCTTTATGTGGAGGTGTGTGCTTACTCTTCACTTAACAGCTCTTTGGGTTTCACTGCTGCCTTTCTGTAAAGAACTTGCTTCAGCATGTTCTGTGTGAAAACCTTAACCAGGCAGCAAGTGTTGGGATTAAAACTTCACTTCCCATGAGCTCTGTAGAAACATGAAATTCGGAGAGAAAAATAAGAGGAAGGGGAAAAGAAAAAAAAAACTCAGACAAAAAAACCAAGCTGAAGGTCTTCATGATGGTAAACCAGCAAGTGTGGGTTGGAATGCAGATTATAACCTCCTTTTCTCCCTCCTCAGGGTTGAAAGATCTACTGACCAAGTGATCAAGCCTGTCAATGTGGAAGCACTGTCCAAGTGGGTGGGGAAGATCCCTGCTGATGTCCTGCAAGACATGCCTGTGATTGCCCCCATGCTGGCCAAGCTGGGCTATGATCCATATGCCAACCCCCCAAACTATGGAAAGCCAGATCAGAAAGTTGTGGAGAACACGAGGAGGGTAAGGATTCTGGGTGTTTAACTGTTGCCTGACTGGCTGGGAGCTGAAGAACAGAAGTGTTGTGTTTTGTTTGTTTTTTTTTTTGAGTCTGTCTCTAATACCTTTTGATACTCAGCAATGTGTTTTCCTCGCCCTGGAGGAGAAAAGAATTCTTTGGGACCTTGAGCACGGAAAATCTGGCTCCTGCTGCTTGTCCAGTTTGATTCCTCCTCCTTTATCCCAACCACAGCTTGAGCTCTGCTCTTTGGTGTGGGGGGTTGGACCTCTTGAGAACTGTCCAGACAGCTGGGCAACTAGTTGGTAGCAGAAAAAAGCTTTCTTGTCTGGATGTCAAACTTGATTGAGCTCAGCTTTTTACACAAGAGGGTTGGCAGAAGCTCTGTCACAAAATTACACCCCAAATACTTGGTAGGGTTGGAAAAATGACCCATGGAAAATGGCTCGAGATGATCAAAATGTCTGATTTTTTTTTTCCAGTCCTTTGCTGTCCTTTGTAGAACAAACCAGAGATGGAGGAAGGTCTGATGCTGATTAACCTAAACTTAAGCATTTTAGTCTGAATTTAATGTTGTTGGAATTTGAGTAGTTAGGCTATAGAGCTGTTTATCCCTGGAGGTACCCATTGAAAAGTTCATTACCATTGTTTGAAATAAAATTATTTACTCTGCTTCTGTTCTTTTGAGCACGTTTGCTTTATTAAAAGAAGGTGACTTTTGCTGCTGCAGAGAAGTAATCAGTGGAAAAATGGAATTAAACAATTTAAAAAGACTTGTCTTCCACCAGCCTTCTGATACTGAAAAACTGCAGTGGGATAATGGTTGGCATTTACAGCTTTCCTTGTACTTACTGTTTAAAAGGCTCACAAACTGACCATTCTACACTTCATTCAACCCCTTTAAAAATCCAAATTTGTATTGTAATGCAGAAAATCAAAGTAACTGGTAAAATGTACTTAAGTTTTTACAGCATGGGGACCTTTTTGAGGCCTCTACCTGTGTGTGACAAGCTCAGTCCAAGTTGTAACAATTGTCTGGATTTCAGTTGCTTCTTGGAATCTATTTCAGTTCAAAATGCAAGAGAGAAAATCAGGTAATAAGCAAAGCTTTTAAAGAGATTAAAGCCTAATTTCAAAGGCTGGAGTGTTTTGAGGCTTTTTGCAAGTTTGCTTTGAAGGATAATTTGGTTTTTTTTACTAATGTGAGAACAGCTGTTAAAAACTGAAGGTTAGTGCTATAATAGCTGATCTGAGTATTGCAAACATATGGGACACTTGTTAATATTTTGACTGCTATTTTAATTAAATAGGTTTACTTACAGCCCAAGATCGGATTTTAATTTTGTTGCTTGTTGTAGTACCCAGGATATATTTTCCCAGTCGCTTGCTCTTCATAACAAAATTCCATTTGCACATATGGTTTGACAGACAAAAACGAGGGAGATGTCCTGAATTAAGGCTAAAATCCAAAACAACCAAAAGGATTAAAGACGGTTAAACTTCCAAACTCAACATGTTCCTTTTGAAAGGGAATATTGAAGGGAATATTTTGAGAAGGGGCATTTCATCACCTGGGATGGTTTTTCACAGCATTTTGCACTGGGTGTGTTGTTGGAGATGAAGCTGCCCAAGTAAAGTCTTTCCAGAGTTGCTGTTCAGTGCATAGTAAGAGTGAAATCATCTTGCTTGTAACCATTTATTCCTGCACTCGTGTTTGGAAGCAGTTCTATCACATTTGTGTTTGTGGTTTCCAAGACTTTAAACTGAACACAGAAGTTTATCTGTTTTCAATGAATTCAATTCAAGGTTGGAATTCTAAAGCTGACCTGTATTGTGTCAGTGTAGTAACCCCTGAGAGTGACTAATTTGAAATAATGTTGGATTATCTGACACTTGCTACCAGTTTCTTAGTCCAGTTAAGATGGTACAAGCAGCACTTCAATTGAAAAAAAAATTTTCCCTGCCTGGCAAACACAAAGCAATAATAAGGAGGAATAACTGATAATTTTATTTTAACTTTTTTTTTTTGAAGGAGAGTTTGTCACTTTCGAGGGGGTTATGTAAGGCTTAAATTTATTATGGAAGTTGCAACACGAGGGTGGAAGCCCAACAGCACCGAAATTATTGGCAGGGCAGATCCTGGCTCCACCTAAAGATGGAACAACTCTGTGTCATCTGGTTCATTGCATAAAGATAAGTGGAGTGTAAATTTTTAAAAATTGCTTAGCATGCAAAACATACTCATAGCTAAAAAGCCTCTTTGGGATGTCAACAGGTCAGTGCTTCATGATAAGTCCTGTTGTAGAAGATAATTTAAAAGTGTTCCAGACTTTCAACTGCGAGATGTCCTTGTTCTAAACCGTGATTAAATGCAGCTGCAGAGCTGTGTTTATACTGCACTGGGCAAAATCTGTCACTGCTTGCAAAAGATTGCAAATTGGACTCAGCAGTGAAAATGCTGTTCAGCAATTCCAAAGCTGCTGCTGTTAGTCCAGAAGGTGAGAACCAAGTGTGTAGAAGTGCCTAAAAGGGGGGCTGGTACTGAAGGAAAATGGAAAGAAGTGGCCAGTGTGGTGTAAAATCTTGGTTTCCCCCCAAAGCTTTCTGAGCAATGTTTTTCCTCTTCTTTTCTGTCCCCTGCTGGTGACTCGCACACGTACAACTTTAAATATTTCTTCTTCTTCCATCTGATGACAAAGTGATGGTTCTCTCCAGCTGAAATACAGTGCTTAAATTAGAAATTCTATCTGCTTGTAGGTAATGCAAGCAAAGCAGTGCTCTCTGCCAAGGTTAAATTTTGCACTTGAGCTGTGCAGGACACCGAAACGCCGAGGCTGGTTTTGTGTGCACAGAAATAATCAGATACAAGCAGTGTTTGTGCTTTGTCATCTTAGCTCTGCTTTTTCTTGAGGAACTAACAGAGCAGGAAGGCAACTTCACCTCTTCTTGTGCAGGTCTCCTGGTGCTCTGGGGTGTTGTGAAATCAGACGTCTCTGACAGTACCTGCACGGGGTGAGTGCAGAGCTGTCAGAGTACAGCAGGTTTTCCTGATGTTTTCAATAACAAAGCCATTAACTTTCTGTTTATCTGTTTTCTGTTGAGCCTGACAATATTATCTTTTATGACAGCTTATCTTGTCTCAGTTAAGGAATGCAGAGCAGAGAGAAACAAGGTCTGGACAGGGTTGTGCTGTTCAGCAGATCTCTTGCATGTGACCTCTTCAAGGCATCACTGGATTTGTTGTGGTTTTCTTTTAAGTCTGTTGCTGGTCTGTTCATTTTGTAAGGACTGCAGGGGCTCCTTCCTTATAGATACACAGCTGACTACTTGTTTTTTAACCCTCCTAGAGTTTGAACAAATTCTGCATCCTGAACAGAAAGGAAAATAACATCCTTAAGTAAATGGAGTTTTCATCTGCAAACGGTGCAGAAAATGCAAATAATTAAGCAGTGTGAGCTGATTACCCAATCCCTGTGTGATGAAATACCAAAGCAGGATCAATCCTCATTAGAACAGTGTCCTTATCACTGGTGGGACTCTGTGTGTGTGTCAGCAGGCTCACAGAACACCCCAAAAGTGGGGAGCAGCTCAGGCCTGCAGGGCTCTGCCTCGTGCCCAGCGGAGACCCGAGTATTGTTGTGTTATGGTTGGCAGGGTGGTTTCCTCCCACATCTGTAACACATTACATCAGATTTTCTTTGGCACATCCTTCCCTCTAAATGAATTTGTATGCTTGGAGTACACACTCCAGTAAAGTTCTTTTAACTTCTTCGTGGAGTTGTGTTCCTTGCCCTGGAGAGATTGGGAGATGGAAGTGGATGGAACTCTGTAGGAAAAGCTGTGCCTTTCATCAGGGCTGTTAAAATACACATGGTTCTTCTAATCCCATCCAAAAGCTGTTGTCTACCTCTAGTTTGTGTTCAGTTAATGGCATTTTCTGCAGTAACATCTTGGAGGGGGGGGAAAAAAAGAGGTTTTTTCCAAACTTCAGTTTCATGCCTGGTTTAAATTGTGAGGAAACATTTCCTGTTAAGAAACGTCCCTGACAGCTGTGATTTCAAGACTTGGAGATTTCCTGAAGACAGAAACAATCTAGGATACAAATATGCAAAGTATATTTGTATATATTTATATCTGTGCATGAGAATAATTTTGCTGCCAGAGATGTGCCGTGGTGGGGGGTGGCTGTAATGCTGGGCCGCGTCTCCATTTACACTGATTAACCTAATCATAAAGGCATTTGGCTTGTTGGGCATCTTCTCTGATATTTGAAACAAAAATTGGGGTTATTTCATCTCACTTGTGACCACCAACAGCACAGACTTTCTCAGTGACCTGTAAATTTGTTTAATACCCTCTTTAATGGGTGTTTCTTCCTGCATGTGGATTTCCAACTGCATAGTTTTTTTTTTTTTTTCCCAGAGGTGCTGATATCATCTTATTTTTACAAAAAAAAAAAAAAAAAAAACCAAACTCAAACCAAACCCCTCAAGTATGCACATATATGATTAGTAATGCATGAAGAGTTATCAGCAACCAAACCAGAAAATGAGGTATTGTTTGCAAGCTGCCTTTTGGCAGATATTCATGCCTGAAATCCTGCTCTGTAGGTAAACATTTACATCTCAGATGTCCCTTCCTTGGCAGTTCCAGCAGAGAGGTGAAGAATTGTGTAAACCTTGTGAGCTGCCTTGGAAGTTAAGGAGGGTCTGAAGGAGCAGATTGAGGGTGTGCTGTGCAGTAGAGGGTTGGTTGTAGGAAGGGGCTCTGGTCTGGTGTTGTCCGTGTTCTTTCTCTTTCTGACAATAAACTTGTCCTCTGCAACTTTTGTTTTTGAAGTGATTTTTTTTTTTTTTTACACAAAAAGACCCATTATCTCTGTGACTGGAACTGGACAAATATAATGTGGCTCTTTCCAAACCTGGCAGGAAAGTGGATGAAAAGGTGGGCTTTAATCTTCTGTAAAGATGAGTTACACTTCTGTGTTATGCTTGTGTTCTTAAGTTCTCTCTGTGTATTTAAAAGGGTTTTTTTTCAGACAACTGGATGTGAAACTTGTTTTCTGATCTTTTTGACAATACTGTGCATTTAGTTTGGCTATAAGAATGTGTTTTGGTGTTTTTTTTTTTAATAGAACAGCTTGAATACTGCCAACACTGAACACCAGACTGACACAGACTTGAAATCCCCCTCTTTTGGAATTCCATTTGGACTTACAAATTAATTCCCTTAGAAATGGCAAACACCATTTCTTCTCAGTTTTACTGAATTCTTGCTCAGACTGGAAATCATTCCAATGTCCTGCTTCTGTCTCTCTAATGCCACTCTGAGTAATGTGTTTTAGACTTATAAATTGGTCAGGAAAGAATTTTGAATCTGAAGCCTCTTTAATTTCTTTGGCTGCAGATGGAGTCATTGTTTTTCGAATTTCTGGATTGCCATTGATCCCTGGCTTTTGATTCCAAAGGGGACCACTCACTGTTTTTGGAACTCCTTTAAAGCAGTGTCTGGGCAGTGTCAGGCCTGACAAAACCAGCCTTGTAGGTAATGTCAGTCCTGAGCTGAACTGAGGCACGTCCGTGTGTTAAACCTCATCTTGGGCCTGCCACTGGTTCGATTTGCCTTTGGAAATTGTGGTGTAGAAGTCGTGGTGATATTTCATGTGAATATAATACCAAATGCCCTCAAAACATTTTCTTTCCAGGCTATGACATGATTTTTCTCATGGATGGATGAGTGCCCTTGGCTATCCACTCTTGGATGCCTGTTAGGAGGAAATGCCGTTCCTACAAAGGGCATTACTGTGGTAAAGTTTTTAGGGCAGACATAGATAGATAGATAGATAAATAGTTATAATGTAAAAATTAAACTGAGTCATAATTGCAGGAGAAGAGAAAAGGAAGAGGCTTCTAGAGAGACAGACATGGCTTTGGCTGCTGTGGTTGTGAATCAGTCACAAGCTGCCATCATCAGTGTGAACTGTTTTTGAGAATTCCCAGCTGATGACTGCAGTGCTTTGCCAGTAAAGGTGAAGAATCCTGCCTGTTATTCTGTAACATTTTTTGATGTGATAATATTGTTCATTTGTAACTTCCATTCCTGCTCTCTGGGACACAGCCTGCATTTTAATGGCTTGGTTAAACGCTGCAAATGTGAAATCCTCTCCTTCATTTATAAATATTTATGGTGTGAGGAGGCTCCAGGAGCCACACTCTGCATGTCTGACCAGGGTGACTTTCATTAAGGTTTCCATGGGAATCACAGGAGTAGCCCCTGGCTGAATACAAATGAGAGCTGTGCCTTTTGGCTTTCTATTTTAACTAAAACACAGAACATTGGAAGGAAGAGAGTTCCACAATGTGTGCTGGGACTTAGTGAAGCCTCGTTTGGGTCTGTTTAGCCCCGAGCTGCCAGTCCTGAGTCCACCCCACGTGAGTCACAGGGGCTGATGCTTTCAGGGCTGAGGCGTCTGCTGGGCAGGAAATTCCGAGCTGAGTCAGCTCAGTCCCAGGGCACTGCAGCATGTTGACAAAACCAGGAGGGCTTTGTATGCTGGTCACCCATTCCTAGGGAAGCAGAGAAAATGGATTTTGTTCCTAAGCATCCCCTGACTTCCTGAGTCGTCTTCCTTTGATGCAAGGCAGGGACTGCAGCTCTGAGCGAGGCTTCGGAGTAGCCACGTTTCTATTTTTATAGAATTTTCCTACGTAGGTTTGTGCCTTGTTTTAATTTTATTTTTAAATGATTACACAAGAATTTATGACATTGGGATGATCACTCTTTATGGTTTAGTAGAAAGAACGGTAAAACTCTTCAAATGTACTTTTTTTGTTTTCTTAGGAGAGGGGAAAAACCCAAACAAAACCAGAATACTTTTTTCCCGCCTTTGGAATATTTAATCTCAGAAGCAAAGAGCATTTAAGGATGATCCTCTGGAGAGCAGACAATACTTTGCCAATTTATTTCCCAGTTGGTCAGATAGTGGAAACACTTGTTTGCTGTGGTTGTTGGTGTGTTGGGGGATATTTATTACTTGCTCTTTCTCCAAACAGCATTGTTTCAGAATTCATATTATGCTCTAAAACACTGGAAATCTTGATAATTCCCATGCAATCAGGCAGGTAATGAGGCTGCAGCATGTGTTGTAGCAAGTCACTCCTAGTGTTTTTAATAATTTTTACCATTTTAATGCAAACAAGGTCAGAGTGTTGAGTACAGAGCAAGCCTGGAACTGAGGGAGCGGCTGTGGAACCACTTTGGAGAACCAAGCCTTGTGAATAAAACTTGCTTTTGCAAAGACATTGTTCTGTTTAGGTAGATCTGTTCTAGCTTTACTGGATGCTAATAACAAAAAGGAATCTTTTTTCCTTTTTTTTTTTTTCCATTCCCTTAACAAGCTCTTTAACATTTCAAACAGTAGTGAATGAGGGCTTTGAGCAGTATATTTTTTTTTGTTTGTTTTTCCAGGTCTATAAAGGTGAATTTCAGCTTCCTGACTTCCTTAAAGAAGTGCCACAGGTACAGTACTGAATTGATTTCCTCATTTGTAGCAGCAAATGGGTGTGCAAACAGTCTTTATAAACCACTTCTTCATGAACCTGATTTTCTGAGTGATGACAACACCTTGTCCATGAGGTGGAATCTCCAGTTCCAAACCTCTCTTGAGTCCATGTGTAACTCCAGTGTGATGCTTGTCAACCTGAGCTATTGCCTGAATATTGCTGTGAAACTAGAGGAAAGTTGGAGTGTCTTTTGTAGACCAAACTGCAAAGTGTGTCATTTGCAGAGGAGCTTTTATCTTTTGTTACCTTGCATGGAAAGGTTTAAAGCAATTATAATACAGAGAGAGCAGAGTTGTAAGTACTGAGAGACTTTATAAAGAAATAGTAATGTTATCAGACATAAACAAAACCAGTTCAGCCATGGGTAGGGATGGTGTGTTGTACTGAAAATTCTTAATTTGGTACCTTCAAATGCTGTTAATTGTCATCAGCTCCCTAAGGGGCCTGACCTGTGCCATTGCAGTTGAAAAAGCAAAATCCTTGTCATGGAGCTCTCAAACTGCAGCATCTCGTGGCACCTTCCCCAGCCCCAGGAATGTCATGGAATCA